GATATCAAATATATTTTCCAATGATTTCTGCATTCTGTTGGATAACCTCTCTTTGGAATGGGCACAAATAAGGATATCTTCCAATCACTCGGCCAATTAGTTGTCTTCCAGATTTCTTGGCAGAGATGAGTGAGTGCCTCCTGTGCCGCCTCACTTTCTTGAAAGAATTCCATTTTTATTCCATCAATTCCCGATGCCTTGTTCTTTGACAATTCCTTCAATGTACCTTGTACTTCTTCCTTCGGTATCATTGGCTCTTGATTATATACTACCTCTTGAAACGGTTGAACATTTACCATTTCCTTTTGGTACAGTGATCTGTGTATTCCTTCCATCTTCTCTTGATGCTTTCTGCATCATTCACTAATTTGCCCAGAGAATCTTTCAATAATGAAAGTCGAAGCTTGAGTTTTTTCCCTCAGTTCCCCCAGCTTGAGAAATGCGGAACATGTTCTTCCTTTTTGGTTTTCTGATTCCAGATCTTTGCACATTTTGTTGCAATATTTGGCTTTATCTTCTGGAGCTGATCTTTGATATTATCTGTTCAGCTCTTATACCTCCTCATTTCTTCTATTTGCTTTAGCATCTCTATGCTGGAGAGCAAGTTTCAGTGTCTCTTCTGACATCCATTTTGACCTTTTCATTCTTTCTTATCTTAATGACTTTTTGCTTTCTTCATGTATGATGTTCTTGATGTCATCCCACAACTCTTCTGGCCTTTGGTCTTTAGTGTTTTATGTATCAAATATGTTCTTCAGATGATCTCTAAATTCAGGTGGGTTATATTCATGAGAATAGAAACTCTCAAACTGTAGTTGGGGATACAGTATCTTTGAAGGACAAGGTGAAATCAGCTCAGTGGCTTATGTAACAGTGAAATTGAGTGGTGGCTTAGTGGTAGAATTCTTAACTTTCACACTGGAGATCCAGGTTCAATTCTTGGGCATTACACCTCATGCACAGTCACTATAATGTGTTACTATGATGCTGAGCAGGTTTTTGTGAACTTCCAGACTAAGATGGTCTAGGGAAAGAGGTCTGATGAAGTTTGATAATCAGTTTGTGAAAACTCTGTTAATTACAATGGTCCAATCCAGAACAGTTCATGGGGACAGGTTTTGTTCCATTGTATGTGAGTCATCATGAGTTTTGGATTCAACAGCAGCTA